ATCGGTACTTTTTTCTTTAGTGTACGCAAACACTGCTGTTCTAAGTTGGATATATAATCTCTTAGTTCATCAGTGTTCTCCTCGGTACGTCTCTGCATGTAAGGCTGTTTCGTTGATTTAGTTCCGCCTGTACCACTTGATCATAAACCTCTACTAGACGTTGGTTTTCAGTCCCTTGGAATCTAATGTATCACCCTGAGCCCAAGAACGTCGGTTCTGGTTAGGATCAAACTATCCACCACTTACTATTTTTGATGGACCTCCTTTGAAATCGTCATCTTCATCAGTCAAACAATCATTTCTAACATACTCATGTCAGTAATTAAATTTATACTCCTCATCGTCTTCTTCATCTTCTCCCATATCATCTCCCTTGTTTTCTCCATTGCCCACTTCCATTTCTCCAGACGCTGCTTGAATGTTAGCTTCCTTATTGTTTTCATTCTCCAGTTCCCCTTCTTCTCCACAATTCTTTTCTTTCTCTGCAGTGTCAACGTTAAATTCCTTATTGTTTTCATTTTCCACTGCCATATCTTCTCCACAAATCTTTCCCTTATCTTGTTCAGTAAAGTTCTGTTGAGGCAGCACCCCTGAAGCAGTATTAACCCCACATCTTGCATTAAAAGGTTCTAAGCTTTTATCTTGATTTTTGTACTTTTCCACCATATTACCAGTCTCTGAGATAAGTCCAAAAAATGCTTCAAGTGCTTTAATGTATTGTAATAAAGCTTCATCATTATCAGGATCTACGTCAGCTGCATTCATTTGCGACGTAATAACTCGTTCCGACCTTAGAAATATCATTTCACCTTCAACAAACTCTCTAAATGTGAAGAAGATATTAATTAATTTGTCAGTTCAGTGAAGAGCCCTGAATATTTTGTAATCATTGTCTGTTTCCATCTGAACAGGTGCAGCCTTTTACCAATCATATCACCCTCCATCATTAAGACAATAGGACATTTCAGCCGAGATTTCCCTTCCCATAAGACCATACGCTGTAAAAATAACGCCTCCGATTCTTGAGCCATCCACTGTTCTGTCCATTCTACCATTATCTATCTTGAAATCCTAAGCTCCATTGTCATACATTATCCACCGGCCAGCCATAAAGACAATGTACGAATCAGAGAGACTTACATTCAAAAAAAGTTTTCGTTATAATTTACACCCAAAAACAGACACATTCAAACTCACTTTCGTGTAGATTCAGGAGATAACACAGTACCTTCGATCATGTTGATACTGATTTCCTTCCCTTTACCAACAGAACTTGCACCGCAGCTCCAAACTCCGTTTTGAGTTTCTATCAATTTCAGATTTGATGGATGCATCTCGTCGTAATCAGGGGCAAAACAGCTCTTATTCTATTAGGATTCCTTTTTATTATCCACTAGTCTTTATTATGTGTCACCATTAACAATTAAGTACACCCACATCTTAGTTTATTAATATAATCACCACAAAACTTGAGAACTTATGGCAGGAAAAAATGCATGCAAAAGAGCACAGGTCATACCGGTTACATGTCGCGTAAACTACTCAGACGGGTCGAGGAAAAAATAAACTTATTCCGACGGAAGGTAGCGCCGGACTCACATGTTTGGGGAACAAGTATTCGGTGGGTCGTGAAGTGTTTGGGTCACAAAGTGTAATAGGTCAAAAGGTCAAATGGGTCATCGATTAATTCTCTCTCCACTTGGTATGCAACTCTCAAATAAACAATTAGACTGACCCACTTTGACTATTAAAAACTAATGACAACCCATGTAAAAAATGTACTCCTCGAAACCCCTATATAACATCCCTAAAACTGAAAATTTTATCATATCAAACCTCATACATAATTCCCACCCAAAAAAAATTAACGAAGCAATAATTCCGTTAGTTAAACCTAGCATTTAACAAAAATTAATTAATTATTTTATACAATTAAAATTATAAAATTTTCATAAAAATGAAATTAGAGGAAAATTAAAAAATGAAAATTTTGATGGGAAATTGTTAAAACTAGCACATTCATGATACACTATTTCACTTCTACATTAATCATCTTTACCACTAAAATTTTGATAGTCAAAAGACTATAGTACCCTTCATTAATAAAACATATACCTATTACCCTTAATTAATTAAAAGCCGGAGATCTCTTTTCTTCTCCTGTCACGAAAAGAACTCCAACGATTCTTCGATCTCCGACGACAATATCCGGCGAACGTGGTGATCTACAGTGAACTCGACGATCTCCGGCGAACTCGGTCATCTCCGAAAAATTCGGCGAAGATTTCCGATGATGAAGAACGAAGAGCTCCGACGAAAAACTGATACATGAAACTCCGACGCTATTCAAGAGGAAACGATTGATTTGATTGCAGTGAAGGTCAAGAATCCTGCTTCTGTTCAAGAGATGACGATGTCTGAATAGACTCTTGAGATTGATTCAAATCGTGAATCTGAATCCTTGGAAGCAGATGTGGCTACTGGACAATGTAAGATTACTATGGAGCATCACAAAAAGGAGGTAAGAACGTGATCCATAGAATGATAAAGTCCCTTATTTCTGTTGCATATATTCTCATGGTTCATAGTTTTTTTTTTATGGATGACAAGGAAGTTTCATCAGAGGAGTTTCGTGAGGTTGCTTTTACAGCGTATCGTCTATTTGGCAAGCCAGTGGAAGAGTAGGAGGAGGAAGAGAGTGGTTTTAGTGATAAGAGCTTTTCTGAAAAGAAGTAACACTGTTGATTCTGCTTTTTTTGATATATGTATTGGCTTATTTATCCAAGCGAGTTGGTTTTTCTTTATATTTAACAGGTTAAAGCTGCAAAAAGTTGTTGGACATGGTGTCTCAGATGCTAGTGTATAGAACGTGGCCTCCTTCGCTCTGGCACTCTACTCAATACAGCCTACTCATGATCAGTCAGAGGCGTATGCGGATTAGGTTGATGATGGAGCTGAATTTGGTGCCGAACTTGTTTTCAATCTACAAAGTCGTTTTCTGGTGGAAGAATCTCTTGGCGAAAGAGGGTTTCAGGATGTAGAAAGTAATGACGGTCATGCATTATTTTATGAAGAGTGGAGTGATGTTAATGACGCGACAAGGAATCAAAGTGCAGGAAAACTTGATTTAAGTTGGCTTAGAGATGCATGCGGACAGATTGTTAGAGGAAGCAGTTCACAGCTTTCCCGTGATGAACTGGCTATGGCTATATGTAGGTTTTTGGATTCGGATAAGCCTGGTGAGGAGGTATGTGTGTTGTCAGTTGTAGTGAAATAGGTTTGGGCTTACTATGCCTGATCCTGCAGCATATACTTACTAGTAGAAGTAGAAGGGGTTTAACTTCTTTTTTTTTCTGCAGATAGCTGGAGATTTGTTGGATCTTGTTGGGGATGGCGCATTTGAGACTGTTCAAGACCTTATTATGGTAAGCCTAGCGTTTATATTACTCTTTTATCTGGACTCTGTTATTGTGCACTTTTTTTTTACCTGATTAGCTTTAGATTCTACTGTATAAATGCCTGTCTTGAGGGTTTCTGTTACGTTTGGGTGGCAATCTTCATCTTGTAGCTCTTAGTTAAAGTTACTTGCTAGCTTAACTTATGCCCCTGGAAGCCGGCTTTTAGTTTTTTAACTAAATCAAGTATTGCTGAATCTTCTCATTTGAATTGAAGTCATTCCTGATGGATCGTGTTATGACAAAGGTACTGCAGATAGATAGAGATTCTGTTTCATGACAATGTTGTTGACTGGATTGTCTTTGACTTTCATTGGTTTACTCAATGTTGTTTGTACGTGTGACTACTGTACTATCTTTAAGAAACCCTGTGATGTGTTTGATTGTGCTTTCACAAACAAAGGTCGAATTATATAAATTCCAAGTTGACTTCTGAGATGAAATGCCATGCAAGTGAAAGCACATCTAGGTTCGTTAATACTGTAATTATTAATACAGTAACAATTACATGTACCAAGTCTTTGCAAAAGCAACACTTTGAATTGTAGAAGAAGACCAACCTTTCATCATCGCCAATGGGCACATGCTGATGAAAGCTCTCAAATATCCATGAGACAGCAAGACGGTGAGATAGTTTTGGTTGATGCGAGTGATGATGATGGCATGCCTCCATTGGAGCAAACACAAACAGGTTGAGACCGTTTGGGTTGAAGTGTGGTGCAGAATCAGATTCTGGATCAGAGTCTGATTCATTGAAACATTGCTGCCATGGAATCATCTTATGTTAACCCTTTGAAAATAATGATAATACGAAACACTGACGTTGATCATTATTTGTTAACAATACAATGCTATAAATGTTTATACATAATTTTGTATTGATTTATAAATCCATTATAAATATTTAAAATGAGTCTTATAAATAATTTATAAGCTTTTAAAATAATGTTTATAATTTATAAAGCCTTATAAAAAAACTAATAATAATTTACAAATGATTTTATAGATTATTTATAAATGATCTATAAACCATTGTAAATGATTTAGAAACCATTATAAATAATTTATAAACCCTTATAAATGATTTATAAACTCTTATAAATGATTTATAAACTCTTATAAATGATTTATAAGCCTTTATAAAATGTGTTAAGACTTTATAATTGAATTATCTTTAGAATTTCTACAAATCCTTATAAATAATTTTATAAACCCTTATAAATAATTTTATATATTCTTATAAACGATTTATTGATTATTATAAAAAAAATCCTTGTCCGTAGATCAAATTGGAAGTTTCTCCAAAAGAAATCATCAGCGAATTTCTGAATTCAAGCGAACTTGACGAGATCCAGACGATAAGGACGTTCTAATTGATTCGTAAACCTATATAAACCTTATAAATTGTTTATTAACTTTAACGTTTCTATAAACATTTATAAATTGTTTATAGACTTTACAAAAAAAATTATAAGTCTTTATAAATTGTTTATAAAATTCTCTGAACCTAATCAGACAACATTCACCCTTTAGGTGCAATAGAGACTAGAAGAATACAAATTGTGTATATGCTAAATCAGACAATCTCAAATTTATTGCAGGCTCCAAATAAAGCTCCTCCTCCTCCTCGTAATCCGCAGGCTCTCTTGACCCATGTTCTGGCTTATCATTCATCTGGTCACAATACACGAACTCGACTGAACTTCCAATAGAAAATGATACAACATGCAATCCCTTCTGAATGGACTTTGAACTCTCATCTTTATCCTGAAACATCAAAGAGACAATACTAACAATGCAAATAACCTACAAGCTTTTAAGAAATCAAGAAGTTGTTTGAAAGACTAAACTGATTTGTAAAGGTTTATAAACTAACTTAATAAGGTTACTAATTTAATGTATAAAAAGCTTATAAAATTATTCATAAAGGTTTGTAAGTTAATTTAGAAGAGTTTATAACCTAATTTATAAAGGCTTATAAACTAATTTAAGGGATTAGAAGTTTTTATAAATCTTTATAAATTTATTTTTTATTCTTATAGATGTTTTATAAACCCTAATAAATGATTTAAACGCCTTTATAAAATGTTTTAACTTTATAATTGAATTACCTTTATAATTTACAAGTCCTTATAAATGATTTTATAAACCCTAAATGATTTTATAAACCCTTATAAATAATATTATATATTCTTATAAATGACTTATAGATTATAATAAAAAAAATTCTACATATTCTTATAAATTTTAAACTCTTAAAATAATTTAGAATTTAGACAAAGTCTTTTACATATCCTTGAAAATGATTTATAAATATTAATGGTTCATAAAAAGTTTTATTAACTATTATAAATGGTTTAAGAAAACAGACCATGTTCTTAACCTGAGATTTTGGGGAAGGGAAGATATTCCAGAACCTTAAGGTTTCATCTCCTGCTCCTGTCACGATCGTCTGGCAACAAACAAGACAAGTATGTTGATGCAAGTGTAGATAAATAAAAAAAAAATACGAATTATGTAAATAAGATAAAAGACTAAATCTGTCCATCTGGTAAAACAGCAAGATACAGAACACGGAACGTGTGCCCGTCAGAGTTGCTAACTGTAAGATAAAATTACATTTTCAGTTCTTTAAAACTCCGCAAAAGTCAACAAGAAACTGAAAATAAACAAGACAGCAACTCTCTTACTTTAGTCATGGTTAGATATTTCCAAACAACGATTATGTTTTGGGAATATCCGTGCGTATTCACAAGCTCATTCACGTTCTTAGACCAAGCCAAATTACACACCTGAATACAATACGAAGTGAAATGTTGTTCGGTTTTTAATAAAAGCCAGCATAACCAAGGTTACCTGACTACTGGTTTCTACGCAATTTAAATGAGTGTTCGTCGTTGTGTTCCAGAAACGGATACATCTATAAGCAGTGACACCACCTGAAGCAAGAAATCCGTGGAGATGAGGAGACCACGCAATGGCTTTAAACGCTGCTGTGTGTTCACAGTATCTCAAAACCGGTTGTGTTGAGTGTTGGTTCCATACAAGAAGCTGCAACAATCATTAACCATGTTCCCAAAAATTCATGCCTTCTTACACTCAAAGAATGAAGATGATATAATTTACCTTATTGTCGTTTCCGCCTGATGCTAGCTCGCGGTTGTTATAATACCATTTGAGTCCACATACTTCGGATTTGTGACCCGTTAGTTTACTGACATGATCTTCTTGACACCGTATGTCTCTCTGAAGTATGCTCTTGTCTCGGCTACCAAAGACAAAACTGATGAGCTCCATGCTAAGGCTCCAACTCGTAGTCGAAGACCATCCATCGTTCTTATTCTCCTGCAGCGCAACGCATCCCAAATCTAATGAAAGCATAAAACAATAAGAGTAAGCAAGTTATCATAGACTCCAAGAGACAAATGTATCTTGTTTCTAACTTACCTCTACAGTTCCGCTACTTGTTCCAATCGCCAAATGTGTTGCACGTAGTGTCCAACTGACTGAGAAGACGCTCTCGTCGTCCCCGATATCACATAACATAGTAACCCGCAAACAGAAGCAAGGCAAAGGATTCTAAGTCACTCTTTAAGAAAAGAAATGAGTCAGGAAGAAAAGAAAAGCTCACCTTGCTAGTACAAGCATTCCACAAATAGACGCAGTTGGCTAATCCCACTGCTAGAACGTTTTGAGGAAAAGGTAGTCCAGATAGTCCAGATAGTGATGTACTTGACTTCTTCATCATCTGATTCAACATTGGGTTCACATTTAAGAGTATTGTGGTGTCAACAATGAAGGAAGGTGGTCGTTAATGGAGGCCACATATTTCTCAGCTGTTGAAGGAAGAGCACCCACGAATTTGTTGTATATCTGTGCAATATCCATGATTGAATTGTGACCAAAAATCAACTTCGTCTCTGAAGAGAGCAGATCAATCACCTGACGGAAACCTATTGCAGATTTTCGAGGGAGAAGGCGTCGGAGAGGACGTCTTTGGTGTGTCCTACGAGTCGGCGAGTAGAGACTCCGCGGTCAGGTCCCAGAGGCAGAGCTCGCCGTCCCAGCTTCTGGAGAGGACAAATTGGCCGTCGGAGGATGGATTTATCACGGGAGGCTGAGACGATGATGCCGTCGATCCGTGTGGATCCCTTCGCCGTCGACTTTTTTTTTTTTTTTTTTTTGTAAAATTTTCTTATGTAAACATAAGGATATTTTAGTCATTTGTCTGTTAATGACTTAGAGCATCCACATCAATGAACCCCCTCTTGGGGTTCATTGAATCAATTTTTTATTATTAAATTTTTTTTGTTTTCTTTTTGATTTTCTTTTTTTTTTTTAAAAGAAAAAAAAAATCTAAACCAATCCCGAGCCGCCACATGGTGAACCTTAGGAGAGAGGGGTTCACCCGAGAGAACTTTAGGAGAGAGGGGTTCATAGGTTTTTGTTATTTTATTATTTTTTTTCTTGATTTCCGTGTGAACTCCCCCCATAAACCCTCAATAGGGATGCTCTTAGGTATTTATGAAAATGTTCTTCTAATGAGTGTAAAGTTGAATAAGTGTACCAAAAAAAGTGTAAAAGTAAAATTCTCCCAATATATAAAATATTAGTTTTTTTTTTGCATCTAACAATGTTGTATTTAAAGTAAAATGATTATTTTTAAGAATAATTTCTGAAAGTTTTTCTTAACCTACAAAACTCATTCTTAACATTGAAGGGTTTAAGCAAATAAGTTTTTTTAAAAAAAATTATATGAAATTTTAATTTTTCATTAAACTTCTCCAAATTTTAATTTTTTTTACAATTTGATGTACTAAACAGGTTTTTGGCTTTTAAAAAAAAATTTCCTGCATTTTTAGAATTTTTTTTTTTTTTTAATGAAAACTATATATTTTCTGTAGGAATTCATACCGGTTTATAATGATTTATAAAACTATCTATGAATTCAATTTGCCTAGATCTCATGTAAATACTGAATTAAATCTAGATTTTAGGGTTTCGAATATACCTGGTTATTCACAGCGGAAAGATGAATAAACCAAGTTGAGATTTCAAGCACTCCAAATGTCGTGCCTCTACCGATATCCACACGTACACAAACTGGATCGATACGGGATGCTAGTGCCGTCGAGATCTAATCTCAAAAATCCTGATGAACTCTGTGTTGCTTGCGCAAGAAGAAAACAATTTTCTTCTTCACACCTTTACGTCTCGGTTGCAAAGTGCGGCCAGCAAATCTCCTTAAGTTCATCATAATTAAGAAAGACTTTATATACATATACTAATGGACGTGACCTAATGTTGTTAGACATTATAATGGACTAAGCCCAACTTGTTTCGTCTCTTAATCATATTAAGAAACTCACGTCCAAGTCTAAGTAAATAATATGTATTATATATATCACATATATATAATATTTATATAAAACCTTAACTTATTTATTTTCCAGTTTGTTTAGGTGTGTGACCTTGTAAGATCATATAATATTAGTAATGAGTTCTAAATTCATAGATTATAAGCGGTTTCTAGAAAAACATTATAATCACCTAATATTATATGATTGTCAAACCTCGACACTACGACTTCTACTAGAGTAAGTACAAATGATTTTAGGACATTCCCAACAATCTCCCACTTGTACTAGAATCATATATTCTCATAATCCCTTTGTCTCTATATCTCGATCTCAGCATAAGGTAAGAACCAGTGTCATCCTTATTAAGCTAGATCATGTTTATCGAACTCTGATTTATACTGATAAAACAAACGACTGACATTCACCTCGTTTGAGCATGGCCATGCATTTCTCAATATCAAATCTTCGATAGGCCCAGAAATATTTATCTCCTGTTATATGGGAGGGACAGTTCCCATCTTGTTCCATCCATGTTATTTACAAACTTCATAAAACAACTAATCAATGCCTTTTTAATCACCAGTTACGGCTGACGTTTGACAAGGTCAAAGTGAACTAATCCATCAATAAATAATCATGACGAACTTAGGTCTAAGGACTATACTCTATAATCGTAATGAGAAACTCTTATGACACTCATATAAGAATCTTGCAGAGTTCTCATTAGCGGGTCAGTCCGATCATGTGTTCTCTAACACATATCCATGTGATTGATTTCAATACCAAATATTGACTGACTCCATGAAACTTAGTCATCAATAACCTCACATACTAGTCATTCTCAGTTATTAATGTCCCAGGTTAACAACCTTGACTAGGGACCTCAATAACTTATAGCATCTTTCACTTATAGAGTTTCATGATCAAGTCACGTACTTGATGACCTATAAGAATGATATAAATTATTTTGGGACATTTATTTAATTATCCAATAATCATATAAATTGAAACAGTTTCATTAGTTTGAATACATAACCAAATGTATGTCAATATGAACATCATATCATAAACATGAAGCCTCCCACTAAAATTAAGATCACATCTTAAGATAAGTAATGTCCACGGCTGCAGTATGACTCTCATGTTTAAGCCGTGAAAGAGGCTTAGTCAATGGATCAACAACTTTTGCATCCATTAAGACTCTAATATGGTGCTTTGCTTGGAACTCTTCCAACTCACCTCTCAACAAGTTCATCACTTCCTCCATAGAGCAAACTTATCCTTAGTATTTCTCAAATACTCTAGGATGCTCTTGACTGATTTCCAGTGACTTTCACCTAGATCAGAATGGTATCAACACGTCATGCAACCTCTGAACGAGTACAGATCGTGGCACACATGATAGATCCTATAGCCAAAGCATATGGAATTCTACTCATTCGCTCTCGCTCATCATATGTTCAAATACACTGAATCTTTCTAAGAGTTATTCCATAAGATATTTGTAAGAAGCCTTTCTTGGAATCATGTATTTTGAATATGTGCAAGACCTTATCGTTATAAGCATCTTGACATAATTCAAGAGTCTTATTTAATCTATCTCTATAGATTCTTATTCCAAGAATATATGCAGCTTTTACATGTCGTTCATTGAGAAACAAACTCAATAAGTATGTCATCTACATACAACACCAAGAAAACAATTGCGCTCCCACTAGTCTTCTTGTAAGCGCAAAGTTCTTCTTCATTTTTAATGGAATCAAACTCTTTGATTGCTTCATTCAAACGAAGATTGCAACTCCGAGATGCTTCCTTCAAGCAATATATCGGATTCAGGGCCCATCATAGCGTCCTCAAAAGACGCAGGTTCATCACTCTCTATTATCAATAGATCATGGTGATCTGTCACCCAAACCCCATATATATTAGGGTCTTGACAGTGTCCTTTCGGACCTACATACTTCAGGTTCAACAGGTGTAGATTCTACGACTCTTCGTAAATCTAATTGATCATCTTCCTAAGATGATGAATCATTCTCTTGTGTTTCTAAAACTTCTTCGAGATTTATTTTACTTCCACTGTTCTTTCTGGAAAGCAATTCTCTCTCTAGAAAAACACCACTACGAGCAACAAACACTTTGTTCCGCTGGGATTGTAAAAATAATAACCTTTGGTTTCTTTAGGATAACCAACGAAGTAGCATTTATCAGATTTGAGTCCAAGCTTATCAGTAAACATATGTTTTACATAAGCATCAGAACCCCAAATTTTAAGAAAAGACAAATTTGGAACCTTTCCAGTCCACATCTCATATGGTGTCTTCTCAACTGACTTTGATGGACATCTATTTAGCGTGAACGCATATGTTTCTAGAGCGTATCCCAAAATGATGGTGGAAGATCTGCATGACTCATCATAGACCGAACCATATCTAATAAAGTTCGATTTCTCCTTTCGGACACACCATTCCATTGTGGTGTTCCTGGAGGAGTGAGTTGTGAAACAATTCCACATTCTCTCAAATGATCATTAAACACTTGACTCAAATATTCTCCACCCCGATCAGATCGAAGAGCTTTTATTTTCTTGTCAAGCTGGTTTTGTACTTCATTCTGAAATTCTTTGAACTTTTTTTTTAAAAAAACAGACTTATTTTTCATTAGATAAACATAGCCATATCTGATAGTTTCCTCTGGCATTTATACTCATTGGTCCACATACATCAGTATGTATAAGTTTCAACAAGTCTTTAGCTCTTTCACCGTGTCCAGTAAAAGGAGCCTTAGTCATTTTACCCAACAAACAAGATTCACATTTTTCATATGATTCATAATCAAATGAGCTTAAAAGTCCATCACTATGAAGCTTTTGAATGCATTTCTCATTTATGTGGCCCAAACGACAATGCCAAAGAAAAATCTGATTCGTGTCGTTAGACTTGAATCTCTGGTACTGATGTTATAGACAGGCACGCTTTGATCTAGAATATAAAGTATATTCTCTAATGGACCGCTACCATAAAAGATATCATTATGATTAAAAGAAAAACACTTGGTTTTTTTTTTAATCGAAAAATGAAATCCTTCCAAATCCAAACAAGGAATGGAAATAATGTTCCTACTTATAGTAGGCACATAGTAGCAATTCTTAAGTTCTAAAACCAAGCCTGAAGGTAAAGATAAATAAAATGTCCCCACGGCTAATGCAGCAACTCTTGCTCCATTTCCTACGCGTAGGTCCACTTGTCTTTTCTCCAAAATTCTACTGTTGCTTAGGCCATTCATATTCGTACAAATATGAACACCACATCCGGTATCCAATACCCAAGAAGTAGAACTATAAGTAGTAACATTTACTTCTATAACATTAATACCAGAAGACGATGTTTCAAAAGTCTTCTTCGTTCTTAGATCTTCCAATTAGGGATTAAACTTAAGAAAAAGATTAGACTCACTACGATTCACAATCCAACTTTTCATATCCCTTTCTTTATTCTTAGCATTTGATTTGAGAACAATTCTCGGGTTTCGATACCATTAAAGGAAGTTTGATTCATTCAATTTGTTCTTCTCAAGAACATATCGAAATGAAAACGAGTTATGAGGAGTTAACATTTCTAGAATAAAAGAACAGAGGATGTTAATATGGTGTTCAAGAATTTAGAAATCTCAACAATTAAGAAAACTCATATTATATTCAAAACCTTTTCCTCAGATGAATATAATATTCCAAGATCCATATTTTATTAAACTCCGAGTGAGCTTTGGCTCATCGCCCGAATTCTAGCTATTTA